GGAACTGGTCTGTATGTGGGATCCGAACCCTCGGTGGGAGCGCCGCCACACTCCCAAGCGGCACACTGTAGCAGTGCGCCACCAGGCCGGCCCGGCGATTTCATTTTTGCCATAGAGGTTATTCTCTGCAGGGCGTCCTTCCCCACTGGCCAGAGAGAGCGAGCGCTTGGCCCTGTGCGGGGACGTTTTGATTAAGCACCCACCGCAGAAACGACAGACCGCCTATACGACGGTGGCTACACTGTACGGCTGAGGTGGGTGGTGGCTGTACCATCTAGGTTTGAGTAGGTACACTCTGTGATATTCACCAATGAGGAAATCGCATAAGGACATTTCTCAGAATGTACCCATGTCATTAAGCGACACCTGACTGTATATGCTTCATAAGTGTTTGTTTAATGAATAGAAAAGCACTTTGTATGAAATGTTTTAAATATCCTGCTTTCTTATACTTTGTAAAAAATAAACATGAAAGTTGTTTTTCCCCCCCCAATTTAGATTTTCCTTGCTGCTGCTTAACTTGGAGGAGTACTACTTTGAACAGCATACAGTCAATCATGTTCAGCACAGGGGCCGTCCTGATGAAAGGTGACAAAGCTTTTGCATGTCTATGCACTCACTAACCTTTTCCATCTCTGATATTTAAAAATTTAATGTATGATCATATACGGTTCTCCCCCTTCTTTCTTATTAGGAAAGTAACAAGCAGTGTGGATTTATAAGTTGCTGTTATAACTTCAAATATTTTCAAAGCTAAAAAGCATTTGTTCTAATTTCTCTACGGATGTGGGTGTCTTATATCAGCTGGATAGGACTCTCATCCGTCCCATCACTTTTTTCTTGCATTGCACTTGCAGTTCAGCAGTGTACTCTGCTGTCAATTATTTGGGTTATGGTGTTATAAGGTAATGACCATAAAATATAAGACTGGTATAAAATCAGCATTTTCGAAATGAATAATGTATTTGAAATAAAAGCAAAATCTGATTTCTCTATACTTCAGTAACTATTGCTTACTACTATAAAAACATATTCTGTTTATTTGATCTTACCTTTTGAAATCTATGTACAAAAGTGTGTAATGAAGTTTTTTGTTTAAAATGCCAACTTGGAATTAACTAAGATTAAAGTTATTCCAGCAAAATTGTATCTGCTAATGATTTCATTTTGGGAGCTTGCTTAACAACTATAGGCCACAACTTAGAAAATGCTTTGACATTAAACACTTTAATTTTTAGTCTTCTTCAGATTTTATCCTTGAATAATCAAAAACATGCAGTATTTGTGTAAATATAAGCCAAGTAAAAACCATTTAGCTTTATGTTTTGTAGCTTAGGACATACCTTTTCCTTACTATTCTATCAAACTAGACAATCACAATTTCCTGAACATAGCACCTTGCTGTCTTGCCCCTGGAATTTTGCTTATATGTGTATTTTTTCCCTAATTTCATACCTTTTTCCCTCTCAACACTCCTCTGTCCTATATCATAATAATGTCCTACTTAAAATTAAATACATTTATTTATTATTAAAACATGAATATAAGATAGCAAACTGAAACCAGTTTTTGTAATTTTAAAGTTCTTATTAGGACAAAATGGTATAACCCCATGGGGGTGAATTTGGTAATAGCTAGCAAAATTGCATGTGCATTAACCTTTTGATCTAGCAATGCTGCTTCTAGGACACTATCTCAAGGATACACTGGCAAATATATAAATGGACATGTACAAGGTTATTTATTATAGTGTTGATTGTAACAGCAAAAGACTGGAAACAATCTGATAGGGGAATTGAATATAAAGGAATGGCCTCATAATGGAGTAGTATGCAGCTGTAACAAGGAATGAAGAAATTCTGTACTGTGCTGTAGAGTGATCTCTGGCACAGATTAAATGCAAAAAGCAAGGGGCAGAGAACTGTTTGTTATATGCCACCTTTCATATAAGAAAGGGTGGGAGGGCCGGCCCGGTGGCGCACTGCTACAGTGCGCCGCTTGAGAGCGCGGCGGCGCTCCCGCTGAGGGTTCGGATCCCACATACAGACCAGTTCCCGCTCACTGGCTGAGCGAGGGGCGGGCGCAGCACCGAGGGTTGTGATCCCGTTGCCGGTCCCGGTCCGGTACGGGCGCGACACTGAGGGTTGCGGTCCGTTGCCGGACACAAAAAAAGACAAAAAAAAGGGAAAAAAAAAAAAAAAGAAAGGGTGGGAGAATTATTTTTTGGTTATATTTTTTAAAATTGGAAGCATAAACTAAAAGCTAATGTAAATGGTTCTTTATACAGAGGAGGGAGAGATCAGGGGGATAATATAGAGATGGAAACTATAGTTCTCTGGATGTACCTTTTTTTCTAACTTTGGTTTAAGAACCATATAATAAATATTTTATAGATTTTTAATATAAAATCAAATTTAGAAAGAAACAGTAAATCCTAAAAATCAAGAGAAAATGGAAAGAAAAAAAAAACCAAACCTTAACTGTAAAGTTGGAGATTATCCATAGAGAATTATTTTATTATTTCTGAAGGTTTGAAATCAACTGATAGAACAGTAGACAGGCAACTTCACAACACAGGAATTTGACTGTGTGAGATATATCCTAAGTTGGAAAAGAATTGTGAAGTTATAAACTATTTTCAGTAATAATATTGTTAATAGATATTATTATATTGAAACTGCTTTATATACATATACACATAGATTTATATAGTTTGATAAAGCAATTGAGTATTTTCGTTAATGCCAAGACCAAGATTTTCAGTATAAAATAATAGAGATATAAATATAATATTAAAGAAGTTAAGTAAAGCCTTGTAATCTCACATTTGAATTGGAAATGCTTATATGGATTTATGTACTTTTCTCTTTTCCCCCCAGCATTATCAAGATATAATTGACAAATAAAAACTGTGTATTTTTAAGGTGTACAATGTGATGTTTAGAAATATGTACACATTGTGAAATGATTACCACAATCAAGTTAATTAACATATCCAGCACCTCACATAGTTACTTGCTTTATTGTGTGAGAGAACATTTAAGATCTACTCTCTGAGAAAATTTCAAGTATAAAATACAGTATTATTAACTATAGTCACTAGCTGTACATTAAACCTCCAAAATTTATTCATCCTGCATAATGGAAAGTTTGTACACTCTGACCAACATCTCCCCATTTCACCTGTCCCTAGCCCCTGGCAACCACCATCCTATTCTCTGCTTCTGTGAGTTCAGCTTTTTTAGATTATACACGAGATCATGCAGTATTTGTCTTTCTGTGCTTGGCTTATTTGACTTAGCATAACGTCTTTCAAGCTCACCCATGTTGTCACAAATGATGGGATTTCTTTCTTTTTTAAGGCTCAATAATATTCCATTCTGTGTACATATGTGTGTGTGTATATATATCAGAGTACTTCAGAAAGTTTGTGGAAAAATAGAATTAAAAGATCATACGAATCTTTCCATGAACTTTTTGAAGTACCTTCCTATATTTATATATATTTATATATTTTTATATATGCACTTATGTATATCATATTTTCTTTATTCATTCATCTGTTGATGGACACTTAGATTGATCCCAAATTGATCTTGGCTATTGTGAATAATGCTATAAAGATCATAGTAGTGCAGATATACCTTTAACATATTGGTTTTATTTCCTTTGGGTGTATATCCAGAAGTGGAATTACAGGATCATATAGTAGTTCTATTTTTAATTTTTTAAGGAACCTCCATGCTGTTTTCCATAATGGCTGTACTAATTTACATTCCTACCAACAGTGTACAGAGGTTCCCTTTTCTCTACATCCTTGCCAACACTTGTTACCTTTCATCTTTTTATAATAGCCATTCCAAAAGGGATGAGATAATAGCTCAATGTGGTTTTGAAGTGCCTTTCTCTGATGATTAGTGATGTTGAATATCTTTTCATATGCCTGTTGGCTGTTTGTATGTCTTCTGAGAAATCTCTGTTCAGGTTCTTTGCCTATTTTTTTAATACACTCTTTGTTTTGTACAGTTGGGTTGTTTGAATTCCTTATATATTTTGGATATTAGCCTCTTATCAGATGTATGGTTTCCAAATGTTTTCTCCCATTCTGTAGGTTTTCTCTCACTCTCTTGATTGTTTCCATTGCTGTGTGGAGGTTTATTTAGTTTGCTGTAATTCCATTTGTCTGTTTTTGCTTATGTTTTCTGTGCTTTTGGGGTCAGCTCTAAAAAAATCATTGCCTAGACCAATGTCAAGGAGCTTTTCCTCTATATTTTCTTCTAGCAGTTTTACAGTTTCAGGACTTACATTTAAGCCTTATATCCATTTCAACTTGAGTTTTGTATATGGAGTTAGATAAGGGTCCAGTTTTACTCTTCTATATGTGGATATCCAGTTTTCCCAGCACCATTTATTGAAGAGATTGTCTTTTCTCCATTGTGTGTTCTTGGTACCTTTATCAAAGATCAGTTGATTGTAAATGTGTGTATTTATTTCTCAGTTCTCTATTTTGTCGCATTGGTTTCTATGTCTTTTTATGTCAGTACCACACTGTTTTGATTACTATAGCTTTGTAGTATATTTTGAAGTCAGGTAGTTTGATGCCACCAGCATTATTTTTCTTGCTCAAGATTGCTTTGGCTATTTAGAGTCTTTTGTGGTTTCATATGAATTTTAGTATTGTTTTTCTGTTTCTGTAAAAAATGCCATTGGTCAGGTAGTTTGATGCCACCAGCATTATTTTTCTTGCTCAAGATTGCTTTGGCTATTTAGGGTCTTTTGTGGTTTCATATGAATTTTAGTATTGTTTTTCTGTTTCTGTAAAAAATGCCATTGGGGTTTTGATAAAGATTGCATTTATTGTGTAGATTGCTTTGAGTACTATGGACATTTTAAGAACATTAATTCTTCCAAATGAATGTGAGAGATCTTTCCATTTATTTGTGTTGTCTTCAATTTCTTTCATCAATATTTCATAGTTGTCAGTGTACAGATATTTCACTTCCTTGGTTATGTTTATTCCTAAGTATTTAGTTTTTGGGGGGTTTTTTTTGATGTTATTGTAATGGGATTGTTTTCTTAATTTCTTTTTTGGATAGTTTGTTGTTAGTATATAAATGCAACTGATTTTTGTATATTGATTTCATATCCTGCATCTTTACCTAATTTATTTATTAGTTCTTTAAGTTTTGTGGAGTCTTTAGGGTTTTCTTTATATATAAGATCATGATGTTTGCAAACAGAGACCATTTCACTTTAGAAAATGACTTTTCTTTTTTTTTTTCCCTTTTTGTCTTTTTTTTACTGACCGGTAACGGGATCGCAACCCTTGGTGTCGCGCCCGCACCGGGGACCAGCAACGGGATCGCAACCCTCAGAGTTGCGCCTGCACCGCGCTCAGCCAGTGAGTGGGAACCGGTCTCCATATGGGATCCGAACCCTCGGCGGGAGCGCCGCCGCGCTCCCAAGCAGCGCACTCTCCAGTGCGCCACTGGGCCAGCCCAGAAAATGACTTTTATTTTCCGATTTAGATGACTTTTATTTCTTTTTCTTGCCTGATTGCCTGGCTAGGATTTCCAGTACCATGTCAAATAAAAGTAGCAAGAGTGGGCACTCTGGGCCGGCCCGGTGGCGCACTGCTACAGTGCGCCGCTTGGGAAGCGCGGCGGCGCTCCCGCCGAGGGTTCGGATCCCACATACAGACCGGCCGCTCACTGGCTGAAAAAAAAGAGTGGGCACTCTTATCTTGTTTCTGTATACTTTTCTAAAGAAGGTATTTCCTATCTCTGTCTTCTGTAAAGGTCTACAAACAACTCAGTAGCAGTCAGCACCATGAATATGGCTTCTGAATACCACTTTCCACTAAAAGGATGAGGGCTCTTTGGAGAACTGTCTGATTCTTAGTCTGGAGCAGGAAATGTGTGAGATGAGCTTGTCGTAATGAGAACATCTTGTTATAATGGCAAGTAAGAAGGTATCACAGACTACTGTAAATGAAATAAAGGACACAAAGGCCAACTTGAAGGCTGACACTGAACCAAAAATGAGGCAAATTGAGCATCAAAAAAGAATGTCTGCAATGGATTGAGATGTGTTAAAATACATGAGTGTGTGGGGCCAGCCTGGTGGCGCACTGCTACAGTGCGCCGCTTGGGAGCGTGGTGGCGCTCCCG